ACAGCTCACAGCAACCTCCAACTCCTGGGCTCAAGCGAGTCTCCTGCCTCAGCCTCCCAAGTAGCTGGGACCACAGGCTCCCGCCACAATGCCCGGCTATTTTTTGGTTATAGTCATCATTGTTGTTTGGTGGGCCCGGGCTGGATTCGAACCTGCCACCTTAGGTGCATGTGGCTGGCACCTTAGCTACTTGAGCCACAGGCGCCGAGCTGACTTTTGATTTTCTAAAACACTTCACTAATCATTTTCTAAATTTAACATGCAAAATCCTCTCCCATCCTTCTCTAAGGAATGAATGCAAATACTGAGATAACTAAGCTTTCAAAATGATTATAAAACATCCACAGGCATGAGATTGCATACCTTCTCAGACACTAAGCTTCCATTTAGTCCCCTGCATATTAATCAGTACTATGTTTTAAAAGTTAGTAGTGGGGGTGTGTGTGATTTCATGATGGAACAAATTTAGAAAACATCAGTAACACAAAGAAATATGCATTTTTTTAAACTCTAAGGTTTCTTTTATGTATTAGTGGGCAACAGGATACTCAGGAATGTAGTATGCAGCTTTTTCCCATACTCAGCTCACTTCCAGTGGTTCTCAACTTTCCTAATGCTGCAACAGTTCCTCATATTGTGGTGACCCCCAACCATGGGGTCCCTTTTCTCCTCTTTGGTGTATTTGGAGAGACCAGGGTTACACTAGTTTGGGAAACTAGAGGAAAGCACACTTCAACATAAATTGTTCATAATCTATCTGAAAATAAGTACCAGAATTATCCCTTCCCACTAACCCATTCCATTATTTTCTTAAACCATACTGCTCACTTAAAGCAGGCCATTCCCTTGCTTTAAAACCTACTATAATTGGCTTTGCTAAGAAGGAGTGTACAACTACAGTCCTTGATTTAACTTCATTATGACCATGGAAAAAAACATGAAGAGATAATGGAAACATGTTTTGTTTTGTTTTGTTTTGAGACAGAGCCTCAAGCTGTCTCCCTGAGTAGAGTGCTGTGGCATTATAGCTCACAACAACCTCCAACTCCTGGGCTCAAGCGAGTCTCCTGCCTTTGCCTCCCAAGTTGCTGGGACCACAGGCGCCCGCCACAATGCCTA